TCTCCGTTCTCTAAAATATATAATATTTTTAAGTGATCGCTGTGCTTACAATAAAGTTTATTCAGAGCCGTTTAATTTAATGTTATATTTATTAGGTTTATCTCTGTTACTTCATGAGATAAAAGGAGGTGGTCATTTATACGGGGACATCCTGTATATGTATAAATATTAACTAACCTGCCTGCTGCAAATTGTTTTTGAATTTGCAGTATTTTATTATCTAATTTTCTGCTTTTAGTACTTGTACGATGCCTACTTAATTCGATCGTTTTTGAACGTTTTAGCTTTAACTCTTGATCAATTATCAATTTCTGCAGATTATCTGTAAATATAATATTTGTTATTAGTTTGTTCACTTTGTATGGTAAAAAAATATGTTTATAGTAATACCTAAAAAACTCCAGATGTTATCATGACTTTTGCCGAATTTTCTTCCTGCTACGTTATGAAAACTTTCTGTTATGTTATTTGTTCTCGCAGGACAATCATAAACACTGACTTTTGATGCTAATGGTAACCAAGTTTTGCGTACATATGCTAAAAACTTAGTTACAGCAGGAAATTCATGAGAAGTTTTATCGACTTCAAGTTGTATAAGGGAAAGTGCTTTCTTAAAAGAATTAGAAGGAATCAATGCCATAGTCATAGTCATTGATAAAATATTTGTCGGTGCATCTGTTAATCCTAATCGCTGCCAATAACGTAAAAGTGCCTGTAAATAAATATTTAAATATTATAATAACTTTTATTTATATAAAATATAAAAGCAGAACATAAATAATTATAAAATTATTACTTGATTATAGTGAAACCAGCATCCATGTGCCTCTGCGTTTGGAAATTTTTCTTTTATTACCTTCATGGCTGCCTTCTCATAGTCGCTCATTATAAATTTTAAATTTTGTTGAAGCATTGGCACTAATTCTATAATTTTGTTCCAAATAGATCTATACATATTACTAGAACGACTTTCACATAAAATAAAGATCACAGCAATACCCTACAAAATATAACGGACTATAATATCCCTTAAAATCCCTCAAAATCCTTTATAATATCCCAATTATTAAAAAATGTATTTAAATACATATATAATACAGAAGTTAAGATAAAGTTTAAATCGTTCAATCTGTTCAAATGTAACTGCTATTTAAAAGCTTGTACTATTTCCCGCAAATATACTTTGATTGCACCTTTAAAA